GAGAGAGAGAGAGAGAGAGAGAGAGAGCTTAAAATACTTCCCTTAAGATTATGTTTTCTTATTGACTAATTCTTTCGGTTTTCTCCTCATTATCATCATCATCTGATCATCATCATCATCATCATCATCATCTCATCATTATTATCATCATCCTTGTCNTCTTATATGACGCAAATGAAATGGGTTTCCCCCTAATTTCAAATAAAAGAGTTTCTAAAAAAAGTTGATCATCTATTGAAAATTGAATATCCTCATTTGAAATATCATCTAAACTGTTCTGAGCATATATTGGTACTGCACACTGAGTTTTAACGTCTATTATATGTTTATTTATTAATTTCAGATAATCTAAATCATGAAGTAAAGAGTTATTAAACTTCCATATGCCTTTTCCTTTCTTAAATTCGTTGAATTTTATTGCTATACATGGTATGGAATGATCAGAACGATAGCCTGGATCAATATTTGATTTTTGTATACATGATATAAAGTTTTCAGAAATTAAAAAATAATCTAATCTTGCTTGCTTTATTGAATTTGACCTCCTCCATGTGTATCTTTTACTTTCTGGGTGTTGTTCTCTATAAATATCAACAAGTCCAAGTTCATTTATCATCTCTAAGACTCTTTCTCTTGCCTTAGGGTTGTTAACTTGTCTGTAATTGTTACAATCTAATTCTGGGTTCAAAACTAAATTAAAATCCCCGCAAATAATAAAAGATTCGTTACTGATTTCTAATACAACATCTACATGTTTTATAATAAAAGCTCGGTGTATCCGAGTTGGGTCCATATATGTTAATAAGTGTACATCTTTTTTCAGCTGTAAAAATGTCTACAGCTAGAAAGTTTCTATCTAAGTCTTTCTTCTCTTTGATAACCTTGGCTTCAATATTATTATTGAATAATACTGCTACCCCCTGGAATTAGAGTTAAAAGAGCTAAAGTAACCAGTGTATCCCCATTCTGATCTGATCATAGTTTCTATTTCTGCTGTAAAATGTGTATCCTGTATACAATAAATGTTAAAGTAATGCTTCTAAAGTCTGCAAATACATCTTTACGCTTATTTCTATCCCCCAAGCCCTGACAGTTGGCAGTTAGTATTTTGATCCTTTCCATATATACACAGTATTGCTGACACTGCTTACCTGTCTGATACATGTAGCTTCTCGGCACAACAGGGAGGATAAAGAGAAAGAAGTCATAAGCAGAAAAAAGAGATAGATAATAGTAAAATGTCATGTGAAAATGTGGTCAATTGGTAGCGACCACCAATCAAAGCATACACCGGCGCAAAAAATTACAATACGAGAAGCACCTACCGGAAGTAGGTATAGTGTGAATAGTATGTAAAAACAATTTAGGTCTCATTTTCCGGAAAAGAAAAAATACCAATAAATCTGAACAAGTTGCCCTCATTTAGATACTTAATATTAAATTGTACTTCATACAATATAGTAACAGAGTACTGAGAATATGTCACCTGTATTATAACAGGCGTTTTTACCTATAGAAGCTGCAAAAATCTGCCAGAGGTATAGGTGGAATAATAATTTTAAAAATCATACTGAGTATACATGTATATTATAAGCAAACTTAATGCCATCTATCTCAGAGATAACAAACATCATTGCTGTTTGACTCATGAAAAGATATCATTTCAAAATATTTTATTTAAATCAATTGATTCAATAGGAATTGGGCAACAGGCTATGCCTATACAAGCCCTCTCCCTTGGGTTACATACATTTCAAATAACATAATTATAATTTAGACATTAACATATTAGCACTGGCTTGGAACATTAAATAGTACTTAATACTTAATAGTCTCTATAAAAGGATATCAATAAGAACAGATACAAAGATTCGGTAATCTGATGTTTATAATATATATATATAGAGAGAGAGAGAGGGGGGGGGGGGGGAGAGAATTGACCATTACATTTACCAGTGATAAACAATAACAAAGTCTCGAGGCATATACTGTAATATAAGTAATATGTAACTGTGTTTAATGCTACCATATTCAGTGACAATAACTTTTTCAATAAATCATACAATAATATATGTATACGTAAGTATACTTAATAACGGTTGACTAATCTATGCATAGAATACAGTAGCACTCCTTAAAGGAAAGAAATATAGACACCAAGTAGGCACACATTCACTCGCGAAAATATCACATCAAGAATATGTACAGAATTAAGAAGACGCGTCTATCATATCTTTACCCGGTCGATAAGGCATAAAGCCAACGTCACGATCGACCTGGTTAGCTAAAGTTAGCGTCATTCTCAGGATACTGTTTTGTGAGCTTCGTGTCGTGAAAGTCTTCTTCTTTTCCCGTTCTTTAGCTCCACAAAAAGTTTTCCGTCAACACTATAAGAATTTTGGACACAGTCCAGCCGGACAGCTTCGCTAAGTCTCTGTTGGTTTGTCTTTGTCAAGTCCTCTGATACTGTCATACCCGATCCTTTCAGAATCCTCCTGGCCCTGATGATCTCGTGTTTCTTCCTACGGTGGGTGAGTTTAACAATCACAGCTCTCCTCCTTGTGTTGTCGAACCTCCCCAGCCTATGGGCGATGTCGATGTCCTCTGGTCGTAAGGGCACTTTCAGCTGATTGTTAGCAAAGTCAACCACTTTCTTCACACAGTCCTCAACGGATTCTTTAATTGACGGGTCATGGAGACCGGCTATTCTGATCGAATTCTTCCGACCGTGCTGTTCAAGGTCATTTTATTTGATTTCAAAGTCGTTTACGATACCTTCTGAATCGGATTCTCTCTGTTCCAGTCCACTGATCCTCTCCTTTAGATCTTCGTTTTCTGTCTCTATTGTATTAATCCTCCATTTGAGGGTGTTCACAAGGTCCTCGTTTTCCCTATGAATTTCTGTTTGTAGTTCCTCTTTCATCTTCATAATGACCGTGTCCATGTATTCCTTTGTGACAGAGTTCTCCATCTTTATCGATAGTTCCTCCAGTCTGTCAGAAACACTAACAGTCACAGACTTCTTAGGAAGACCCATGCTGACAGGTGACGAATGTACAACAGTCTAAGTTACACAGATCTATATAGCAAAATAGGGATCAGAATACCGCCGTGAGTGGTGGTCACCACCTGTAGTGCTAGTCCATTGTCATATCAAAGCACGCTCTAAAAGTAACTTTTCCTAATACCGATGACACCTCGTAAGGCAGGTACGGAGTGGGAGTACCTTCTTATGCATCCATACTAAAAATTAGCTGGAATTATTTTCAAGAAACGACAAAATAGACGAAATTTGTCGGAGCATTGTTTTGCCGTCCACCACAGGTATGCATGACCGGAAATATATTATATAAGTTATTATTTTAATATTTTAGTGATCTTTAATTGAGTTAACCAGTGAACACTCTTACACCCTGAACACTGAAACAGACTATAACGCGGACAATATACATGGAACCGAAAGTAGGACACGCACTCACACACTTTGCTTACCAGACTATCCGGTGTTCCCTTCTATTAGACATTTCGAATTTCTCATTTTGAGGCAGACCTAGCACGGAGCCAGAGACGGACACTGAGAGTAGTTAATTCAGGGAACATCTCAAAATATTTTTTCATTTCATCTGTATTAAGGATTGATGTCTCCCTGCTTGCGACAAAACAATAGAGAATTATCTGTTTGTGTTCCTTACCTACAGTTTCATTCGGTGTCAGAATTATACAACAGAGGCCCCGGGTGAGATCCTTAGTGGAGACATTGAAATATCAATTACCACGGTTACATACTTGCCGCAGCGAGCCACGAAAATAGACTATAACGACTGTGGTCACCGGTCACATACTATTGTATAATGTGTTTCCTTATGATGTTACCTATTCGCTTACATGTAGTCACGCGCATGGGCGTGTACACACTCTGACATACCCTACAGGGCGTTTCTAGGATATTTGAAAGAGGGGGCGTAGAATCCAATCTTTGGACGTTTTCTTTGCTAAAAAACATAAAATAATTGTGAAATGCACTAATGTAACGGTTCCTGACTTGGAGCATGTCTATTTTATATTACGATAGTTTTTGTTTTGTTGGGTTTTTTTTAAAAGGGGGGGGGGGGGCGTACGCCCATTACACCCTCACCTGGACCCGCCCCTGCCCTATACGCTACGTTCCATATCAAATTACTTTTGAGATGACCCCTGTATTTGCTTGTCTAGGTCTCTGTCTCCTTGCTCTGATGGGGCTGACGGCGGCAAAGTACCTCACTTCCGGTCCAGAATTGGTGATGCTTCACAATAAGTGTTAGGTTAAGGCATTATTAGGCATAAGAGTCGTCTCACAAAAACTAGACAGTTAATATATATAGGATAGACGGCTCTTTATCTAATCTATCCCCCTCTTCTACTCTTTACTCCACACTTTATCCCTTCTACTCTTTTTCCTTTCTGTTCTTCGTCTGCTGGATAACCGATACATCCGGTAGTGAAGCGGATGTAAAACCTATCAATCAATCAATCAATCAATCCGTGCTAGGTCTACCCCGAAATGAGAAAGGTCTATTACTCCAATCTCTGCGAGGAGGTGTAGGAGTCTTATCTAGAGGTATACTAGATCTATAAGGGATGTGTCGCCCTCGCGAGCCAGACACATACTGACTCACATATCGGGGTGATCAGCTTAACAGGAAGTTAGTAAGGAAGAACAGGCGGGAAATTGAAGCATGCAATATGTGTTTCCGGTCCATCAAATTACTGTCGAAAGTCCAGGTCAGTGTCAGACATTTACATAACAACACAGGACAATGTCAAGGTCACTTGTCTTTACAACAGTACGTAGGTAGGTTACGTGCATATACATGCATATATATGTACAAAGTACACTGGGTTACATAAACATCTAGTTTTGTAAATGTAGTGTTTTATAATAATGTAAATTTCATTATCAATGTTACTATACTCATTTTCATGTGACCATGTTCCAAAAATAAATGATTCTTTGTTGACTGTAAATAGAATTAAATGCATTTCTAAAAGGATTTCCAGACTGTGTAGAAAATTTCGAACTTCTTGACATTCCCACAGTATATGAACAATTGTTTCTCTCTCTGAGTTGCAGTGTACACAAAGGGCTTGTAACTAGGTTTGCCTAAAATAAATATGGATTTGTTGTCAGAATATTATGAAGAATTCTATATTTGTTATTTTAAAAGGTAAAGAAAAAATATTCTCCCAAGCAGATTCATCAAAATCAAAATGTTCTGTCCATTTTTTCCTACCTGTTGGAATTTCTTTATTCTTTGATATAATTTTATACAGTGTTTTTGATAAATAATTCCATGTTTAGCGAAATAAAAGGGAGAAGAAGTTCTGTATTCTGAATCCTGTGTATTTCAATATAAGTTCTTATACATCGTAGTATTAATAATACCTTGAAATTTAAGAAAATCTGTAAATATATTATATTTCCTTGTGAATTCCTGATAAGAGAAGAAAGTGAGAGAGCTTACATCTTTAAACAATAAACATGTCATTTACTACTCTTACACCTTTAGAATACCAGTCTTTAATAATATTAAGATCTGTGTTGAAAAGACCATTGAATATAACTTGCCACTTGCTAGAACTTTGAAAAGATCTTCTGAGCCATCCTAATTTTAGAGCATCTATAAAATATTGAGTGTTAAACATTTTTAACTATAAAGATATATGGTGCAATCGGGTCACCTTGTCGGCAGCCGCGCTTGACCTTGAAGAATGTTGATATATTACCACCCTGATTTATATCCGAATTTACATTACAGTGAAACGTTTTTACCCATTTCCTAATACTATCCTCAAACCCATAAATAGTAAGCGGTTTATATATAAATTTCCATGAAACAGAATCAAATGCCTTTTCAAAATCCATCATACTTCTGTAAAATTCATCACATCATAAATAAGTGTTTTCTCCTATATACCGCCCTGCTAAAAATCCTGTTTGATCTTTATCTATGAGTTTCCCTAAAACTGTTTTTGTCCTATTTGCTATTACATCTGAAGCTATTTTATAAACATTATTCAAAAGAGGTAAAGGCCGCCAATTTTTAATAAAATGTCGAGATTACCCCTTTTGGTATGTTCATTTCTGTCATAACCTTAATTCAGTGATCTAACTACGAAAGTACCTAATTGTCTTCAAAAACATTTAAAGGAGTCTGTGGTAAATCCATCAGAGCTGGGACTTTTGTTATTTTTCATGTTACTCATAGTTTTCTCTGCTTATTCTATTGTAATAAAAACCTTCTTTTTTATTCGAAATCATCCTATTTTGTAACATTGCAATGACTAAGGAAGTCTGTTAGATTAATATCTGTTAATCTATCAGAATCATCATAAAAAAAATCGTAAAATCCTTTAGTCTCTTTCAAAATTTCATCCTGATCAGTAATAAATTCATTATTTTCCTTTTGTAGTTTTGGAATTATTTTAGAGGTATACTGTCTATTTTCTAAACTAAATAAGTAGATTGCAGGTTTCTCCCCTTCCTCTACCCATCTGGCTCTAGATATAATTATGCTCCCCTTTATTTTGTGTAACCTAATTGCTTCAAGTTCTCTTTTCATGTCAGTCAAATCTTCTAAGTTAATATTGCCACTATCTTTCAATTCCTGTATAGGTTTTTTTCAGATTATCTTCTCTAATATTTCGCTGGTTTTTTATATAGGTTGAGTAAGATATTGTTTTCCCCCTTATTTCAATCAAAAAAAACTAAAAAAAAACTAATCATCAATTGAGTGAGAATGTTATCTGAATTATATACAGGAACACAATAAACCAACATACGTTCTACACCACAGCAAGTAAACAGGCAAACCGGTAGTGTATTAGTAATATTTAGACTCTATAGCTGGACTCAACCTAAGTAAAAAAGTAATTACTGAAAGATAATAACCGTTGATTTTTGTTAATCACTACAAAATAACATTTTATAAAACGCATTTTTTTTAAATGTGACATTGCTACTATGCGAGAAAGAAAAGTAGTCGATATATATAATGAGATCATATACAGTAGACTACTAGGTCTAGGCTTATCTACCTCACCTGGGACACATTTGCGTATTCGGTTGAAACGGTTGAACCGGTTGTTACGGCACGATTTCTCACCCCAACACGATTTCTCACCCACAATTCGTGCCGGGTGAGAAAACGTGTCACCTATGCCCATATGTTTTACTCGATTTCTCACTCGGGTGAGAAAGCGTGCAGGGTTGGGAAATCGTGTTGCGAACGCAGCACTTTTAGCAAGATGTCTCAACCGGGCGAGGAATCGTGTCTGGGTGAGAAATCGTGCTGTAACAACCGGTTGAACCTGTAGTTTTTAAGATACTGTGACAAACACCATTGTCAACAATAATTTGTTAAGGGGCTCCGCAGTGAGCTCATGCCATTAAAATAAGTAAACCCAAATTAATGGGAAATAGGACAAGGACACAGTCAAATACATTTTAAAACTGTACTCCACAAATTAAAGATAAACATTTACAAGTATACAGGTACATGTACCTGTATAAGACAGTACTATTCTATGCCATATAAAACAGAGTGTCAAAATCACGCCCGTACGCTTCAAAACCCAAGCTCTGTCTGACCAAACAAAGGAACACAGCTCACCAAGAAAACTGTCACATCGCATTGGCCACTTGACTCACACTCTCTAACACACGGCACAATGTACTGCACTACGCAATCCATGACAATTCGGCAATATTAGATAAGACCTTTCTTCCAACACACTCTATGAATAGAACAGGTATCCGGACCGGCTGTACATGTACGTGAGGTGGCTAAAAGTAGATCACCCCACCTGGACAACAGTACAAGTGCATGCATACAAGTAAACAAGCCATTCACTCATAGATACAAATAAGATTAAAGCGTAACTTCGTGACAATGCCCCCTGCTGAGATAGAAATGTGTCCTCAAATAAAGTACACTTTAAAAAGAAGTTGAATTTAGTAGCATAATATCACAATATGGAAACTATATATTAAATCAGTAATAAAGTCTTATTTTCCTGAAAAAGAAATCCTGAAATAGAAAAGAAAGTCACCTTCCACTTTGTCTGTTCGCAGTCCATTTGTGTATCTTCAATCCTTTGAAACCACAGATCACAGCAGAAAATCCAAATGTCCACAATACCATCGTCTTGAATTGCTCTCATCTGTCGTTCAAGTCCTTTCCATCCGCGTCCAGAGAATGTACACAGGAAAACCGATCCAGGGCAACGGCAATCCTTGGTGGACGTTTCCTGCGAGCACAAACCTCGCAAGCCCTGCATCACTGCTCAACGTCTTTTCTTAGTCGTCCACACCAGTAATATCTGGTCCTAACTTTGCCTGGTGTCTTGGCAATACCCAGATGGCCTGAAGTCTCCGAGTTGTGGAGCTCTCCGAGAACAACTTTGCGTAAGGCCTCTGGCAGCACTATCTGTCACTGTGCGGAGAGATCATCGTCACTTTCGAATCGTCTATAGAGAACACCGTATCTGAGAAACAAAACGTCCGAGCGAGACCAGTAATGTTTCACACCTGGGGTTTGATCAGTAATGTCGTCCCATGAAGGTCTTTGTCCACTCTCTTTCCAACCTACAACTACACTTATAATCTTGTCTTTCCCCTGCAACTGTTTCGATCTATCTACTGACATCACTCTATCAGCCTGTTCCGCATGCTCGTCAGTATGATCGGAAAGATTCTCAGTCGATCTATCGGGAGGTGTGACATGACTCAATGCTGCAACGTCATAGACACCATGAACTGCGTACTTTGCATCAGCGTTTTCGCAATATGAACATGATGTCGTCGCGCAAGGCCTCCTGGAGAGAGCATCAGCATGCATGACTCTTCCCCCTCCGATGGTCGATCGAGAAGATTTCACAAGTGCTAGCACCTCTCGTCTGGTCACAGTACGATCTTTCGGGTCTGCTCAGGTCACGCCGAGCCCTTGGTTTACATACTTCCAAGAAGGCGGTGGCTTAGGGTCAATCGCGAGAGTATGCTTTTCCGGGTAATATATATACTCGTTATGTATACTTTTACGAGTATACTACTTTGCGATTCCTGACACTTTGGCGCTTGATATCCGCGCTGATATGAGTGTCCCCTCGTTGGGCTTCGAGGCAGGCGGGGACACAGACAGTGAACTAATTAATAAACATACATGGGTAATGAAAAAAACACAGAAAAACACCCTACAACTACCACATTCCCACAATTCATCATCATATCGTCAACCACTAGTGTAAAAACTGCAGCAACATTGTCTCCTCTTCTGTTGAGGAAGGGTATAAAAGGAATAGCTGGGGACGTAAAGTCCGTCAAACCTTTGGGATCTGGCGATCTCCTAATCGAAGTTTTTTGGAGGTATCAGTGTTATAGTGAAAGCACATCTATCACTAAACAGCAGCAAGGGGGTAATCAGATGCCCCGCCCTGCGCAATGACGCTGATACCGCCATACTGGAGTACTTCCAGGAGGAGGAGATCCCAGTCTCTGAGGTGCGACGGATTTTGTCCAAGAAGAACAACAAGTTGGTTCCAACAGACACGTTTGTACTGACCATTGCTACCCCATCACTACCTTCGGCCGTAGTGATTGGTTACCAAAGGTGCAGTGTCTCCGTCTACATCCCTAATCCATTAAGATGCCGTAACTGCCAGAAGTACGGACATCATGAAAAAAGATGTAGGCGGAAGACCGTTTGCCAGTACTGTGGTCGTGAAGGTCATGAGGACCAAAGCGACTGTGATATTGCCAACCTGCGTTGTGTTAATTGTGAGGGAAAGCATGCTGCTTCGTCTCGAGACTGTCTTGCCTGGAATCGCGAGAGAGAGATATTGCGGGTCAAATATACCCGAAATGTCTCCTTTCCTGAGGCTAGAAGGATAGTGGAGAGCACGGACGTGGCTGCTCCCTCATATGCACAAGTGACGAAAGTCCGGTCGCCGGTTGACAATGTCGCAGTCAAGGATGCTTCGGTTCAAGTATCTGCAGACATACCTGCCTGGGGCTCACAAGTCCAAGACATGTCTGGCCAACAGAACTTGAAAATCCTCACGGGAGACCCATCCCGTTTCACGACTATACGAAAACCAACCAAAAACAACAAACAGTCAAAAGAAGCATCACCATCAAAACCAGCATCTTCATCAAAACCAGCATCTTCATCAAAACCTGCACCACTCACATCTGTTGCACCACCATCAAAATCAGCACCACCATCAAAAACACCTTCCTCTTCGGGAGAAAACCCTCCACAGGTTGGCCCATCTAGGGCACATGTGCGTTCGCAGCGATCTCGCTCACTCACATCTGTTCCTCGATCCCAAATGAGGCCACAGGCAACATCACCAACCTACAGACCTAGAAGAAGAAAAAATAGCGAGGGCAAATCTGATGGACCCGATCTGAATGTCACCTTTGGCAAAGGATCAGAGGACCCGACAAACCGGTTCAATGTCCTACTAGGTTTCGATGATGAGATGGAGACGAATGCCTCAGCGCTTCGTGCTTCGACTCCATCGAAATCCAGGCAAAATAGCGAAAAATAAATAATACAATTATCCAATGGAACATCCGCGGATTAAAGGCAAATATAGAAGAATTTCAGAATCTATCAAAAGAATTTAGACCCGCCATTTTTTGTCTACAAGGAATCATGCTCAAAAACCCAATCACGCTTAGAAATTTCTCACTCTACACTTATATTCCAACTATAGTTAGCAGAGCAGCAGGTTGCGCAGCGGTAGCTGTCCATAAAAATATTCCTCACAGAATGATCAAGTTAAACACAAATTTACAGGCTGTTGCTGTCTGTGCAACATTACACAGACAAATAACCGTCTGTTCAATTTATCTCCCTCCGAGTATTGTTTTCACTTGTGAGCAACTCAATAATCTCGTCTCCCAGCTCCCAACACCATTCATAATCCTCGGTGATTTTAATGGTCATAATAGCCTGTGGGGCTCTCCCAACACAGACGAGAGAGGAAGACGTATTGAGGAATTTATAGATAAAAACAACTTGTGCCTTTTTAACAACAATACCCCTACTTATTTACACCCTGCTACAGGCTCTCGTACCCACATTGATCTATCATTATGCCATCCATCCATTTTACTTGACTATGACTGGAGGGTAAATGATGATCTTTGTGGGAGTGACCACTTCCCAATTTTTCTTAAGAATATTGGGACTCCTCTTGATGATCCTCTACCTCGATGGAATATGCACAAAGCAGATTGGGCCCAATTCCAACACATGTGCATTGAAAAACTAACCATAGACAATTTTACTAACCTCGACGACCCTATCAAAACTTTTACTGAAACACTCACTTCTATTGCCCAAAAGACAATTCCAAAATCCGCTCCAAAACCTACGAAGTTCCTTTTATCTGAAGAATCTTTTAAAACACGCAGTAATCGGGCAGCTGCTCTAAGACGCTACTTCAATTGCCCAACTGCTTCAAACTACAGTGAATTTAAAATTTGGCGGGCAAAGGCTCGGCGATCAATTAAAATTGACAAAAGAAACAGCTGGAGAGAATATGTATCCAAGATATCATCAAACACGTCCTCAAAAAAAGTATGGGATATGATTCGGAAAATAAGTGGGAAAAAGAAAAAGGCAACATCCTCCTACCTCATTAATAAAAACTTATTATTTTCGTCTATGACTGAAATTGCTGATGCATTTGCAAAAAACATAGCTAAAAACTCATCCCCTTTAAACCACTAACCGAAAATTCCAGTCTTTAAAAAAAAGAGAGAGAAAAGAAACGGCTCAATTTCAAATCATCAAACAAAGAAAGTTATAATGAACAATTTACCCTACCAGAACTTGTTGATTCGCTTAGAAAATCACAGGACACTGCTTCAGGTCCTGATGATATTCCATATCAATTTCTAAAGCACTTACCGGACTCGTCACTAACATGCCTTCTTTACATATTCAACCAAGGTTACGCTTCCGGAAAGATTCCCGATTCGTGAAAGAACTCCACAATTATTCCTATCCCAAAACTGGGAAAGGATGTTACTGGCCCAAACAACTATCGTCCTATCTCTCTGACTAGTTGTGTATGTAAAGCTTTAGAACGAATGATAAACACTAGACTGGTTTGGTTTCTTGAGGCCAACGATATAATATCCCCTCTTCAAAGTGGTTTTAGAAATAGAAGAGGGACAAATGACCATCTCATCAGATTAGAGACGTTCATTCGAGAGGCTTTCGCCAAGAAGGAACACCTTGTCGCCGTGTTCTTTGATCTTGAGAAAGCCTATGATACTACATGGCAGTATGGCATCATGAAAGATCTTCACGACCTTGGCGTACGTGGAAACCTTCCCAATTTTATATCTAATTACTTATCAGATAGACACTTCAAAGTCCGTGTTGGTTCAACTTTTTCTGAAACGTCTAAACAGGAAATGGGAGTCCCACAGGGTGGAATCTTATCAGTCACACTGTTTGGTCTTAAAATCAATGATATAGTCAAATGTCTTGGTCAATCAACAGAAGGGTCGGTATTTGTGGATGACTTCTTGATCTGTTACAGATCTAAGAACATGCACACGATAGAACGACAACTTCAACAGAGTTTAAACAAACTACAAAATTGGGCAGACGAAAACGGCTTCAAATTCTCTAAATCCAAAACTATGTGCATGCATTTCTGTCAAAAACGCCGACTAACGTGTTTGAGAAACAAAATGAACTCATTTCCTGTCTAATTGGGGATTCTCAGATAGATCTGAGGTCAGTGTTTAATGAAGTTCTTGAAACCAGTTTGTTAAGGGCCTCGCGCAGTGGGCTCATGCCATTAAAATAAGTAAACCCAAATTAATGGGAAATAGGACGAGGACACAGTCAAATACACTGTACTCCACAAATTAAAGATAAACATTTACAAGTATACAGGTACATGTACCTGTATAAGACAGTACTATTCTATGCCATATAAAACAGAGTGTCAAAAACACGTCCGTACGCTTCAAAACCCAAGCTCTGTCTGACCAAACAAAGGAACACTGCTCACCAAGAAAACTGTCACATCGCATTGGCCACTTGACTCACACTCTCTAACACACGGCACAATGTACTGCACTTCGCAATCCATGACAATTCGGCAATATTAGATAAGACCTTTCGTCCAACACACTCTATGAATAGACATTTTTCATTTTGAGGCAGACCTACCACGGAGCCAGAGACGGACACTGAAAGTAGTAAAATCAGGGAACATCTCAAAATTATTTTTCATTTCATCTGTATTAAGGATTTCTGTCCGCTGCTTGCGGCAAAACACTAGAGAACGATCTTTTAGTGTTCCTTGCCTGCAGTAACATCCCCTGATTTTCATTACATGTACAACTGATAAACTTCTCTTGGCTGATCTCACCTTACTGGGTTTTTTTCAGGAAAGATGTTTTTTAAATTACGGTTTATACTGCATGAAAACAAAGACTCGGTGCAAGCTAGAGATGAACGCAGTAGTATAGAAATCCGAAAATTCACTCCCCTGAAATGATCCCTAGAACAGTCTTCTAAGAATATCATAAAAAGATATTTACGCTACGTTTCATATACAATTATTTTTGAAATTACCACTGCATTTGCTTGTCTGGGTCTCTCTCTCCACGCTCCGTGCTAGGTCTACCCCAAAATGAGAAAGGTCAAACCGGTCGTTCCACTGTTGTTCGTTTATTAAATAAGGTCGGAACTAGCAATCTGATGCTGCTTTCAGGCGAGCCTTGACAAAGCTTTGCATAAACATTTGCAGGTCCGCCAGGATTTATACCCGAAATTGTTACATTTATAAACGGTCAAACCGGTTGTTCCGCATAAACGAACAGTCCCCATGTACACGGACCGGCTGTACAGGTAAGGTGGCTAAAAACAGATCGACGCACCTGGACAACAGTACAAGTGCATGCATACAAGTAAACAAGCCATTCCCTCATCTTAGGTAAGACATCAATGGAAAGCCTGTGGCTTGTAATGATGTTATTTATCTGCTTAAAGTGTAACTTCGTGACAATACGTTATATCATTCAGTGGACGGATGAAAGTCGGGCATAATATTCTTGATACATTGTTTTTTATTCTCTGAAACTGTGCATGTTTAGCTCTGCTTAGAGAACGGTCCAACTGCGTTCGTTTATGGTGGAATATTTCTGCACCACAGTGCACACGTTCCGTTTCAACCGGGATACGCGAATGTAGCACAGTACACTAAAACCAGTGAAACGTAACTTTCACCTACCTGTGTTCTACTTGGAATCGGAATCACACGGCATACATCCCATATACAGAAAAAGTTCAGAACCAACACGAAGTTATCGGTAACCGGGGAAACTTCCCGGAGAAGTCTACTACCGATAATCACAGTTATTAGAAATAACCCTTTCCTGCTCGTCTGAAGTTATCATTTGTGTAAAGGGGTATCATATCCAAGTCTACGCTTTCTGTCGTCCTTGAGAATAATAAACAGTTTTCCATCAACACCGTGTTTGAACGCCTCAGTCTGGGCTGCTTTATAAGCATACTATTCCCGGTAGGACTTCCCCTTTTCTGTTAAATTTCCCCTTGGTCCGCTGAAACTCCCCCTTTCCGCTGAAACTTCGCCTTTCTGCTGAAACTTCCCCTTTCCGCTGAAACTTCCCCTTTTCGCTGAAACTTCCCCCCAGGCACAACGGTCACCTTTACCTGTACACCGATCGACTGACCGACCATGCCTGACAGCTGTAGCGACAGTGAGCGCCTGTCAGTCTATTAATAGATCTGGTGAGAAAGACCGGTTTACCTGTGACGATACCTTACCGTTGTTCAAGCCAGTCAGTTAAAAACAATGCTCCGAATTTTGTGTATTTATAATGACATATCAGACATCGATGTGTTTCGATGATTACTATGTATATATTATATCTAAGTGCGATTAACCAACATTGAAAAGCGTTTGTACTCATGAAGTTTATTGTTTGCGATTCTTGTGTAAACAGCTGAGTACGGAATGTTTTGCTGTGACTAT